AGGAGACGACGCATTAATATGCTCTTTTGAGAGCAAGGAGGAATCTTGGGTGTTAGATTCAGGAGTGTTGTTTTATGCTACTTCTCAGAAAGAATTCTTCGAGAAGTATGTTCTCGAAAATCTTAGATATGTATACCTTGGTGATGATCAACCGTGTACTATTGTGGGCAAAGGTGTAGTGAAAATTAAGTTGAACGGGTCAATATAGGAGTTGAAGGATGTCAGACATATTCCCGACCTGAGAAAGAACTTAATATCCGTAGGCCAGTTGGCTGATGAAGGATATACTACAACCTTCCATGGAGATAATTGGAAGATCTCAAATGACGCAATGACGATTGCCCGAGGCAAGAAGACTGGTACCCTATATATGATACTAGGTGCACATTGTTTAATCTCAGTTGCAGCAGGCAATGAGACTTTAAAATTATGGCACCAGAGACTCGGTCATATGAGTGAGAAGGGGATGAAAATCATGCACACAAAGGGAAAACTTTCAGGACTACAGTCAGTGGAGATGGACATGTGTGAAGAATGCATACTTGGAACCAAAAGAGAGTCAATTTTCAAACAAGTGGCAGAACCCCCAGGAAAGATAAGCTAGAGTTTGTTCACTCAGATGTTTGGGGACCAATCACTACCACGTTCATTGGTGGAAAACACTACTTCGTGACTTTTATCGAAGATCACTCTCGGAAAGTGTGGGTCTACTTTCTAAAGCATAAGTCAGAAGTATTTGAGGTTTTTAGGAGATGGAAAGTCATGTTCGAATATGAGACTGATCTGAGAATAAAGAAGCTCAGGACCGATAATGATGGTGAGTATGAAGACACCGGATTTAAGAAGTTCTGCTATGAGTACGGGATCAGAATGGAGAGAACCGTACCCGATACGCTTTAGCAAAATGGTGTAGCTGAATGGATGAACAGAATGTTAACAAAGAGAGCCAGAAGCGTTCGGATATAGTCGGGCCTACCGAAGTAGTTCTAGGCAGAAGCAGTCAATACAACAGTTTACTTGATCAACCGAGGTCCATCAGTTCCATCGAAACACAGAATACCAGAAGAGGTATGGTACGAAAAGGAGGTAAAACTCTCACATCTTTAAGTTTTCGGTTGTGTAGCTTATGTGCATATTAGTGATCAATGCTGGAATAAGCTTGATCCCAAGTCAAAGAAATACACTTTCATCGGCTATGGTGAAGATGAGTTCGGCTACCGCATTTGGGACAATAAAAATAAGAAAGTGATCCGCAGCAGAGATGTGATATTCAACGAGAAGGTGATGTACAAGGACATGCACAAGACAGATGACTCAGAGAGTGAGTCAACATTTGTAGATACAGATGATGTTCCGAGTAACCTCTCAGAGAACCCAATGCAGAAGGTCCTCAGCCAGAAGAGCCTGCTGGACAGAATAGTGAGTAGGAGCCCGACACACCAGCTCTGATATTGAGAAGATCTTCTCGGCCTCCTGTGCCCAACAGGAGATATATGAACTATCTGTGCTGACAGATGGAGAGGAGCCTGAAAGCTATAATGAAGCTTGTCAGAGTGGAGATGCGAGCAAGTGGGAGCTTGCCATGAAAGATGAGATGAAGTCTCTCATCTTAAACCAGACGTAGGAACTAGTTGAGTTGCCCACAGGTAAGAAGGCATTCCATAATAAATGGGTGTATCAAGTGAAAGAGGAACATGATGGTTTCAAAAGATATAAAGTTCGGCTAGTTGTCAAAGGGTTCTAGCAGAAGGAAGGAATTGATTACACCGATATTTTTGCTCCTGTGGTAAAGCTCAATACTATCAGGACAGTGATGAGTATTGTACCTATTGAAGATCTTCATCTCGAATAGTTGGACGTGAAGACGGTATTTCTTCACGGAGATCTAGAAGAGGAGATATACATACACCAGCCAGAAGGTTTCTCAGAAGAAAAGAAGAAGAACCTGGTGTACAGACTCAAGAAGAGTTTGTATAGCCTGAAACAAGCCTCAAGGAAGTGGTACAGGAAGTTTAACGGCTTCATGCACAAGGAAGGTTTCCAGAAATGCAACGTCGATTACTATTGCTACTTTAAAAGATATCAGTCCAGTTATATCATCTTACTGTTGTATATGTTAGTTGCAGGTGCAGATATAGAGGATATCAGGAATTTGAAGCAACAGCTGTCAAAGGAGTTTGACAAGAAGGACTTGGGTCCAGCAAAGAAGATCCTTGGAATGCAAATCACGAGCGATAAGAAGAAAGGTCTCTTGCAGTTATCTCAGACAGAGTACATCAGCCTTGTTTTGCAGAGATTCAACATGGGTGACGCTAAGCTAGTCAGCACACCCCTGGCCAGCTATTTTCACCTATCAAAGGATCAATCTCCTTAGTTAGATGAAGAGAAAAAGAGTATGACTAAGGTTCTTTACGCCTCAGCCATTGGAAGCTTGATGTACGCAATGGTCTGTACGAGACCAGACATTGGCCACGCAGTGGGAGTGGTTAGCCAGTTTATGTCGAATTCAGGAAAAGCTCATTAGGAAGCGATCAAGTGGATTCTGAGGTATCTACGAGGCACCACACAGAAATGTTTGTACTTTGGTAAGGGAGAGGTAGAAGTGCAAGGGTACGTAGATGCAAACTTTGGGAGTGAAGTCGATCACCGAAGAAGCACCACCGGCTATGTATTCACTATCGAAACTACAGTTATTAGTTGGATGCCACAGATATAGAAGATTGTCACTCTATCCACTACAGAAGCTGAGTATGTAGCAGCGACTGAAGTCAGTAAAGAGATGATATGGCTTTTAGGGTTTTTCCTTTATCCACTACAGAAGCTGAGTATGTAGCAGCGACTGAAGTCAGTAAAGAGATGATATGGCTTCAAGGTTTATTAACAGAGCTGGGATTCAAATATGAGAAGAATGCTTTGCGCAGTGATAGTCAAAGTGCAATTCACTTGGCTAAAAATTCATCATTTCATTCTAGAACGAAACACATTGGGCTTCGGTACCACTTTATCAGATCCATGTTGAAAAATGACGTGTTAAAACTAGAGAAGATTCCAGGAAATAAGAATCCAACAGATATATTAACAAAGACGGTGATCATTCAGAAACTGGGGTTGTGCATAACTTCAGTTGGCCTTCATGCATAAGTGATAAGGGCGGAGCCACACAGGAGAATGTGCTTATTGAGATAGCCTGTTGTCGACGGTTTGGTCTCCAGGTAGATTGTTGGTTTGGGTGTAGGCCAAACCTGTCAGGCGAGCTCGAGCAGGTGAGGAGCTCCTTCAGGCGAGCTTAGCGAGATCTCGTGGCGGATGTGGTCAGGCGAGGTCGACGCTGATCCGCAGGAGAACTCGAAACGGTCTGCAGGTGAGGTTTGGGCTTTGCGGGCGAGGTCGACGCAACGCAGGCGAGGGTGAGCTCGTGGATTTGCTGGCGAGCCCGAAGTTGAGCGTAGGTGAGCTCGAGAACTTTCAGGCGAGCTTCGCACAGGCTGTCGACAGCCTGTTGAGAACTCAGCGCTAGGGTTTCCCTTAAAAGGGAAACCCTGAGCCCTAGGCCTCGTTGCTTCGTCCCGTTTTCTTACTCTCTCTCTCTCTCTCTCTCTCTCTCTCTCTCTCTCTCTCTCTCTCTCTCTCTCTCTCTCTCTCTCTCTCCCTTCTCCAGCGGGGGGATTTACGAAGGGAAGCTCACAGTGAATTTAAGAAAGGGGAATTTATTTAGGGAAATTTATTAAAGAGGGGAATCAACACTGTAGCTACATTTGTATTTATTGAGAGATCTTAAGTTTGAGATCTGCTCTTGTATTGTAATTTCTTGTTGATTAATAAGAAATTAATTGTGTGTCTTCCGAGGACGTAGTCAAGTTTGCCAAACCTCGTTAAATCTTAGTGTACTTTTTTCTAATGCGTTTTTGCTGTTTTAGGGGTTTAGCGTAGCCCCGGGTAATTTCCCAACAAGTACTCCATAGTTTATCTTAACCAGCATGCTCCGTGAGTCATGATGGCCTCTGTAGACTACATCTTTTGGGGAAAAGAGAAGTGCAATTGTTTACTTTTAGTTTTTAGTTTGTGGATGTATTAATTGATAAAGTTGGTTTCTTTCTCATTCAACTCCCTGATTAGGTTCTGAGTGAACTAGACTTCTGTATTTTGCACTTCTAGTTTCAATGCAGGTGCAAGTCAGATTCTGTTTGATTCAGTTTTAATATTTTACAACTAGATGATGCAACTATATTTTATACAACTGCGGAAACAACAATTAATCAGCCTAAATTACCAGCTAACCATTGAATATCTATTTGAAAAAAATGACAAAGTATATACCACATATATACAAAAAAAATAGTGGAGGGACCACTACATAATCACAGCCATTGATTATCTAGTTGATGGTTATGATTTTTTCTTTTAGTGCAAATTAGGAATGAGTGCAATACACGGGGGTATGGTAAGTGTTAGATTTAGATTGTATCATAACCGCCTACTAAATAATCAATGCTTGATATTAAAAGTAGTGGTCTCTCCACTACTTTTTTGTAGTGGAGAGGATCCAAATCCCATACTAAGGTATTTGGATCCTCTCCACTATAAAAAAAATAGTGGAGGGACCACTACATAATCACAGCCATTGATTATCTAGTTGATGGTTATGATTTTTTCTTTTAGTGCAAATTAGGAATGAGTGTAATACACGGGGGTATGGTAAGTGTTAGATTTAGATTGTATCATAACCGCCTACTAAATAATCAATGCTTGAGATTAAAAGTAGTGGTCTCTCCACTATTTTTTTGTAGTGGAGAGGATCCAAATCTCATACTAAGGTATTCGGATCCTCTCCACTATAAAAAAAATAGTGGATGGACCACTACATAATCACAGCCATTAATTATCTAGTTGATGGTTATGATTTTTTCTTTTAGTGCAAATTAGGAATGAGTGCAATACACGGGGGTATGGTAAGTGTTAGATTTAGATTGTATCATAACCACCTACTAAATAATCAACGCTTGAGATTAAAAGTAGTGGTTTCTCCACTACTTTTTTGTAGTGGAGAGGATCCAAATCCTATACTAAGTGCTACAAATGTCTCAACACGCTCGTTATTTAGATAGATGCTATAATCAGTTCACTTGTATTCCGGAATCATAGACATCTCCAGCCTTCCACTGTTGTGGAATGTTGTTTACAGGCACCACCCAAGTCTCGTCTCCCTCATCTCCTCCACTGAGTAGCATTCTTATAGACAAAGGCCCACTGGGAGCAGAAACTACAGTCCACACTGCTCCGTGACTCCGATTCAATAACTTGCATGTTAAGTTCACAGTCTGCGTATACATACAATTAATTATCAGGCATGTCATGAAATTATTTTACGAAATAATACAATAATGTTGAAGAAGAAGGAAATATGAGAGTAGTACATACCTCGCATAACTGAACTGCGGTTATATCCTGATTTCCTTGCTGATACCATATCTGAAAGGCTAGATAGTCAGGGAAGTTGCTGCTCTCGTCAATTTTGATGGTTATGTTCTTGTTTGGGTAGCTGCAGGAAACCCTGAAAAATGTATTGAAACATGGATCAGTTTTAAATTATGGCAGTCTGTATTGATCTAGAAACTCTTAAGCACCCTTCAACAAGATTACATCTCCGAAATTATAATGAGGATCGAGTGTTATAGTTTTATACTCTATCATAAACCTGCAGGCTCAGTTTCACAACCCTTTGCTGTGTGTCATCCAGTGGAATTTGACTCCTCTAATATCATCTTATAGATTCTTCTAATGCAACAATTCTGAAGTATTGAGTTCCATAATCTTATTCTCTAACAAATATAACTAGAATGAGGTTTCGAGTTGAAGTTTACAGGGCTTCAAACAGAGTTTGTTAATCAGTCTAACCAAAAAGATATTGGCTGCAAGTTTCTATCGCCCACCTGTGGATAGTTCTTTTGTAGTTTTATTGTTGCAGATAGGCACCCTGAGTGAAAATTTTTGACTCTTTTATCCTATGAGAAAGAGAAACTAATTTTCTTATTACAAATAGACCTTATGAGGGTAGAGAGTCAAAAAAGTTTCGCTCAGGAGTCTATCTACAACAATAGAACTACCGAGGTCTATCCACAATTGGCTTTCCAATATGTGCAACTATGCTCATACACAAATTTTAAAAAATTCACTCACCTTCTGTACTCAATATTGACAGACCCAAGAGCCAAAAGTGATGTGCCTGCATCGGTTGTCTGACCCATCTGAGAGAAAGCTAGCTGACTCAGTATGAAGTCAGTATTGGCGCTTGCTCCTGAATCTGTTATCACAATTGTCACACCATTATCTGAGCAATTCTTGGCATTGGTGCACTTCACCTGTACATGTAAGATACTTGCATAAATTTATGCCGTTGTACTGTAAATAAAGAAAACATGGTGTGC